CTGCTCTCCTCTCCCCCTGACCCTCTTGTTGTGTGTTCCCCCCACAGAGTGCGATTGCCATCCCGTGGGCGCCGCCGGCCAAACCTGTAACCAAACCACAGGCCAGTGTCCCTGTAAGGATGGTGTCACCGGCATCACGTGCAATCGATGCGCCAAAGGCTACCAGCAAAGCCGCTCTCCCATTGCCCCCTGCATAAGTAGGTGGATCGCTCTTTCCATGTCTGTAGATTAGAGATATTAACCTTGAGAAACCTGCAGGAGCCACTTCCAAGGCTGGGTGGCTACTAACACCACTGCCTATGTGCCAACAGGCAGCGCTCAGGGAACGGAGCTGCCTGGGCACCCCTGCCAGCCACACTGCCCGCAGCAGGGCATATTGTCCAAAATTCACCCCTAGCTTCCCAGCAGCTCATCTGCCTTGTTGAGTGGGTTGTGTGAGTGCATCTACAGCCCAGTTTGCTGGTAATTTGATTGTGCTTCATAGAGCAAAAGTGCCCCAAGAGCATATTTGCTTTGGGGTAATACATCAGGTGTGGATGTTAAGGCAGATCACTACAAACAGGTTTGTCTCTCCAAAATCAGGCTGTGCTGCACTGGCACAGAGCTCAAATCAGAGGAGCTGCTGGTTTGATGGAGTTGCCATCACAGTAAAGCAGCTGATACCAGCTGGATTGCTAAAGGGGATCTTGCACTCACACAAACCACACAGAGACATGGGCTGTTTTACCATTTGCTTCCTTGAGTTTGCTTTTTGGTTTACCTTCCCAAAGCTGCTCTCATCCTCTGCTCCTAAAACAACAGCAGCATGCACCAGGTACAGCTCCCCAAGTCTCTCTGTTGCAGCATTTGCTCTGCAAACATCCACATCCCCACTCAGTCCCCACCGAGCACTCGCTGCCTGGGCAAGGTGTGCTCCAGCCCGTTGCTTCTCTCTGCTGCCTCTTGGTTTTATTGTTGTTGGATCGTTCAGTAGCTCATGCACCTTGCAAGAGACATCTCCACGTGCCCTAACAAAACGAAGCATCAAAATTATGGTGCCTGGGATGGGCTGGGAAGGAGGGGCTGCTCCCCTCAAGGTTGGCTGCTAAAAGGGGAAAAAAGGCCCAATGGGAACAGAAAAGTGAAGGTTGAAACAATCAAATCTTTGTTGTGAACCCACACTGCCCTTCACAGCGTCTGCCTCTCAGGTTGGCCATTGCCAAGTTATGGTGCAGATAGATACCCTTTCTTCACCTTCTCCTGCT